TTGGGTACTAATACCACTGCTTAAGTACTGTGATTCAAATAACTAATTTCATTTTATACATAATATTTGGGGGACTGGGTTCACAGTCTTCAGCTTAGAAAGGGGGGGGGGGCAAAAAAAAATGAACTATGTAATGCTCAGTGAAGAACAGTATGTCAAAAAGTTTTATTTTCTATAAATTACTTTACTTAAAAGAAAAATGTGGTTTTAGTTTTGATAAAGTCTGACCAATGAGAATCTTTTTCAAGTTACTGTGGAGTGGCCTTAATGCTGTAAATAATCCAATTGGCCACGTCCCAGTACAGTGCAGATGAGAAAAGGATGTAGGAAATTCAGTTGTTTACACATGTGTCTGTAACACTGAGAAGCAAGAGGAGCCCAGAAAACTCAGAGGGTAAGGGGTCTTAAACTTGTGGGTTTAATGTTTAATTTCTATATTTCTCTTCAGGGACAAAGCATGAGTTACTATCATGCTGATGGTAAGGAGGAAAATAATCTGAAATACCCAGCAAAAGTACTGAAGATCAGAAAACAGTATTGGAAGTATGTGGCTAAGTTATCTCTAACTAGATTTTTCTCTTCTGTCTTTTTGGCTACTATTAGATAGTATTAGTTCTAATACCCCATTAAATATAGCTTGTTCTTCAAATCCTTACTTAATCAGGTAAATTTTCAAATTTTTGAAATTATTTCTTATTTTTCATTTATAAATTAGTATAAATGCAGAAATTTCAAGGATTATACTGTTTTAATACTAAAGCCCTTTTTTAAATTACTTTGTGAAATGCATCTGCAATAGCATAAACTGGTAAATCTTTGTTACCTTTTAAAAAGTATCAGTATTATGGACATAAGTGTAGTGAGAATATTGTTAGGAGTTTGCAGAAGTTCACACTGCATTTTTTTATTTAGAAGGCAGTGTTTACACAGTGTTTCTATTTTCAAAAGTTATAAAACTCAATAATGAGTTGTATAATCCTCACTTCCTTCAGAAAATATCTGAAGATGGGATAAGAAAAAAGTGCGTTCTGAGCTATATGGTATTATTCTAATGCAATGAAACATGTTTATTCATACTCTGATTTGTTGATGTTGGACAGAGATATTTAGTTCGTCATTTTTTTCAAAGTCAAGTAACGGAGATGGTATGAGACTATGGATGATCCATCACCAATGAGAACCAAGGGTCAAATTCCAAAATTAATGTTGATGAGTTCAATAAGTATATATAACAAATAGTATTAATAGGCTTCCTACAGACTGTGCAGATAGTTGCATTTTGTTTGTCATAGTTCTCCCTGATTCTTAAAACCATTTTATGAAGCAGACTCTCTTATAAATAGTCCTATGCCTAGAATCCTAGCTTTGTTTTAGACTACCTATGCTAGAAAAATTACTTTTGAGTTTCTGAATGCAGTTCTTTGAGTAATAAAATGAAAATAGATGGATTTCCAAAATATGTTAAGTATCATTTATAGAACTAGTCGTATTGCTTCCAGAGACATCTACAAAAGGCTAGTGAAAAATGTGAAATTATGTGTCTGTCTTTTTTTAATGTATTTTTATGTAGAAATTTTGAATTGAGGCCACTCTTTCACCTTAAATATAAAGTACTAATATCAATCTCGGGTAGATCTGAAAAATAAATCGCTTGAAAATGAATACTCTAAAGCAGCTGGTAATGAACAGGCTTAAAACACTGTCATTGACTTCAACACCAAGAGGGGTAGATCTTGGTATTGTTTAAAGTGTATCAATCTGATATGCATGGAATCATAGATTCACAGAATGGTTTGGGTTGGAAGGGACCTGAAAGATCATCTAGTTCCAACACCCGTGACACAGGTAGAGACAATTCCCAGTAGATGGGGCTGCTCAGGGCCCCATCCAACCTGGCCTTGAACATTTCCAGGAATGGGGCATCCAGAGTTTCTCGGAGTAACCTGTTCCAGTGCCTCATCACCCTCAAACAAAGAATTTTTTCTTATATATTTTACTAGCTGACTCTTCTGTGAGTTGAAGAGACAAGCGTTACCCACAACAGCAATTCTATATTGATAGCCTTTATTCCATTCAAATCTGCTAAATTTAACAAAAAGAAAGATAAACTTTTCTTTTCCAAATAGTTTTTCAGAATAAAAAGGCATATCTACTTCCACTTTTATTAAACAAGTTTTATTTTAACCTTTTCCTATATATACAATTAACAAGAACATATGGACATTTAAGACAACATGCCATCAGGAAAAACTTCTAGTGCAAATATAGATTTTTGTTGCCCATAAAATGTTCTTACAATGAAGTATGTATTATTTTTATTTAAATACCACTTTCTTCTTGTATTCCTATAAATTCTTGGTGTCCATCCTCTTTAATGATTTTCTATTCACTTGCTTCCTTGCTCTTACTCTTCGCTTCTTTCTCAGCTTTGAATATTCCACTCCCCTTAAATCAGTGAGTTACAGTGCTAATTGAAAACTGAACATTAATCTCACAATTTCGTAAGGGCTGCTTTAATGTCAAAGATTTTACTGAATCCCCAAACAAAGAGATATTTATTGCAGTTACACTGATGGCTGGTAAGTCTTCTATATGACTAAAAAATTAGGCAAATTAGCTTCTAAATAGCACTTTTACTGTTATTAATAGTCCATTTCATTTGCAGAGACCCATATTTGGCATTTTTTCCACATAGTTAGAAACCACATTTTCTTCCCCCTGGGTATTTTAATGTGGTATTAATAGAATTGTACAATAGAGGTTTACTTTTTATTTAACTGGGATAACATACAGGTGTATCAATATATAGGAACCACATTATCTTGGTATTAATTTCCTGTTAAAGCTGCTAGAAACCATATTCATCTTTCCTTTGAAAAAGCAGGTCTCTAAGCAAAGGCTGTTTTTGCTCCTACTCCCTTATTAACCCAAACAATAATCTTTAATAGACTGGTTTATTATGGAAATGATCCTCCCTGAACAGCTTGATTCTCTGCTCATGCTGATTTGAGTAATCTAGGTCTGATTTACATCGGGTTAAATGAGACTCTGTTTATGCCAAATCCAGTCTTATTTAATGTCAATCACATTACTGGAGGAATACCAGGGAGGAAATGCCATGAAAGTTCCTATTGTTTTGATTATTTTTTTAAAGTGTATTTTCAGTTGACTTGAGGGTTTCTCCGTAACTTTTGTAGGTATCCATGTTGGCAAAAGGACGCCAACTTCCCTTCTGTCTAAAGGACAATATTCAAAAGAATGCATGCAGAAAGAGTCAGGCTGAGTAACCACCACTTATACAATTACTACTCATTGTCCTACAGTGAGTGGGCACCGAGAGAAAAAATAGAGATTCTTCTCAATGCATTTAAGTGACGTCTAGGGTACCACCGAAGGTATTTTGTGTTTTATTTTATGTGCCTAGTCTAATAACTCTGGAATCCTGGTTAAAGTGACAATATGAATTATTTCTTAAGTTTTTTTCCCTCAGAGAAAACTTACTGAAGTTGGAGTCAACGCGGGATGGTGTCTTGCAGTATTAAAGGAGTCCTTGAGCTGTTGAAAGACATAAGATGGTGTTAAAATACTAAAATATTTAAGGAAAATCAAGAATAATTACCTTTAAATGTCCAAGTAACAATCTATTTGTAAAGAATATTCTTCAGAGACTTAATTATAGAAGAGATGGCTTCTAAAACTGTTCCGATAAAACTGAGAACATCTCTGCACAACAGAATTGTTAATTCTGATGCAACTATATCAGAAGTAGTTGAACAAGTCAAAGGGATATGCTCTGACCCAAAGAAAACAAAATATTCATCAGCATTCTTACTTGTCTACTTATGTGGGTGGGAAAATCACTTGTTTCCAGATTGAGCAGTGTTTTGAAGAAAAATTGCTTTGTGTCCTAATAACCATTGGAATGTTTTATGTCGTCGTCTGAGACAAAGTTTCAGATATCTGTGATTAGTTTTCCCAACTGCCAGTGTTATGAAATTTCTTTTCGAAAGTAGGTCATGTTTTGAATAAGAAAGCATCATAAATGAATTCAACTCTAACAAGGCAATTCCTGATCTCTCATACCATAAAGCATATGGTTTTAAGATACTGTCAAGAGTTTTAAAAACCTAAAGAATTTCTCAGTGTATAAGCGGGAATTAGAAACTAACTTTTTCAGGAATATACCATTACATCTTCACATATTGGAAAAAAAAACCCAATCCACCTCAGTGTTGTTTTGCCAGTAAGCAAAAAAGCACCTGTAAATGAAAGTGAAACTATACAATTCAAACAACCTTTCCAACTGAGTAACATAGAAGAAGTTTTTAGAAATGTGGTATAAACTTAGAAAATAAAATTGTCATCATTTTTGTCTAAATTATGAAGCTTCTCTACATTTAAGTGACCTCTACTGTTTAGATTGACAGGTTTTAATATTACATCTGAACATTTACTTGTTCAGTAAAGTGCTCTTCAGACTGGATAAAGTCTGTCTTCAGTTGCCTTTTTCAACTTCCTTTTGAGAATGAAAGAAGCACAGCTGACCTGATCTGTAGCCCAATCTGAAAAATGTGAGAAAAAAACTCCACAGATCTGTGAAGTCCTCAGTGCCATTTGGAGATAGCTGTGCCCCCCTAACTATACCCAACGGTGGTTCTCACAAAGAGATTAATTTTGCTTTTAAACATAAATAAATAAAACAGTAAATAGTAGAATGCTAATATTATCAATAATTGGGAAAGGAATTTAACCATTGAGAATACATCACAAAATTGTCTTTGGTCTGAATAGTGTGTTGTAAGCTTATTTATAGCTTACTTGCAAATATTGATGTCTAATGTATCCTAATTTTTTTAACAAACACCCTGGATGAAAATGACCAGCTGAATGAGATGTTTTTAGACTTCTTGTCTTCTTTGACTTTTAACTTACAACTGGCTTTAATGCTTGCAAATTTTAAAGTCTTCTAAAACCAGTTATGAATCACATGCTCAAAGGCAGGTCTAACCTTGTGGAGGATATATGTCTTGAATATTATTTCCCTGCATTTCTGGAGTCTTCCCTCTTTCTGAAAAGCTCAGAGCAAATCTATGAAAGATGCTCTTCTACATCATGTTGAAGGGCTGTCAGTTTAAGCAAGGTAGTGCATGTGTGTGCTGACTGAGTTGCATATTCTGTAATAGCATACTGACAACTTGGATTGTGTGGAGACTTTTCAGATTCTCTGTTGTTGACTGACAACTGGCTCTGTTGTAACTGAGCTGAGTGGTGCAAAAAGTTACTTTGCTTAGCCTCCTTGTTCCCTGTAAAGGGTCTATGACCTCTTTAGCACTGCAGTTCATTTCAATATGGGTTAAAAATTGTTTGTCACGCTAACAGTCATTGAAACTAACTTACTCCACTTTCTGTGGAAACAGAGGAGTAAGACTCATCCACTTGGTTATTCTTTGCCTTAGCTGAAGAACTTCTGAAAACCAAAACCAAACCAAACAAAAAACCAGATACCATATAATGTGATTAAGAGCAACTCTCATTGTTCCTGAAAAACAGAATACCTATAGGTGTTTTCATAAATCACACAGAGTTCACTTGCATCTTTAGCCATAAGCATTAAAAAGGTGTGTTTCAGTATAGAGAAATAGTATTAACTAATATGAACACTATTCTTCTGAAGCAAAATCTGTTTCAAGTTTGAGTACAAATAATAATAATGGCCAGTCTTCGCGAACGAAGATTTGGGGAAAGGTCTTTTACCTTTCCAGCCTGCGCAATGGATTTTTTTAGGTGAGACACAGCCTGCGCTGAACTGAGCCCACCCTTTAATCCTAAGGTTCATCTGCCGGGGCCAAGCAAGCTTGGACAATGGCAGTGAGGTCCTCAGGACATAGGTTTGTTTAGAGTGACCTTCTCATAGATGGATGGCCTCACAGGGCTAACGGGCTCCATCTGCCCGGGGAACTGGCTGGATTCGAACCTGGGTCACAGAGGTGAGAGTCCTGCATGCTAACCACTAGGCCACCAGGGGTCCCTGAGTACAAATACTATCGTTCTAAAGAAATCTCTCTATGCTATTCAGGAGATTCCTAATTAGACCAGATGTTTAACTGATATGAATTAATTTGTATGAATTAACCATAGTCTTATTTTAAATACACTCTGAATTTGTCATCAGTTGAAGTTATTATTCAGATTATTATTCATAGCTTGTCTTTCCTAATAGTCATACAGAGCATCATTCAGGCAATATATTCCATACAAGTACCAATCTCCACATAGAATCAATGAGACCAGGTTGGAATTTAGGGGACTTGGCTACTTGTTTAGTTCAGAAGTTTACACTAGGTTTTGTAGACCTGTTTGTAAGTTGGTTACCCTGAAAAGATCTAAAAATTTGACAGTTCATACTTATCCTAATTACCTAGGAAATCTATTTTGCCTCTTTTTATCATTGATCATATCCTAATAAAAAGTGATAAGCAATCTCAAAGGGGAGCTAGCCAAGAAAACTGTTGTGTCTCAAAAACCATAGCTACATAATTAAATCAGATTACGCTTGGTTTAGCTTCTGCTTAATACTTAATTCTGTTTGAGACTCTCTGGGAAAGTTGTTCGTTTCATACACACTCCCCTCCGTCCCTATGTAATCTGATTATACAATATATTTTTTCATATGTAGTGACTGAAGAATGAGTATCAATTCTACAGACTCAAATGTATAAAGATTATAGTTGATATATTATGAAAGTTTGTAATCAAATGAAACATTCTTGGGGAAATGAAGTTACTATAAATTATATTTAAATCAGTACTTTAGAGCTTCTTTTGGCTTTGTGGGTAGTAAATGACAACATTTCTATGTATAAATATTTATGTTACTCATATTTAACCCTAAGGATTTGAATACAACTTCAAAGATGTGAAGAAATATCAGCTTGTCTCTGCAAAAGACTTGAAAGATGTTGCAAGGATATGTAATAGCTTGTATGAATGAATAGACCTAACTCAGAATAAGTATATAATACTGGTTCTCATCCTGAAGAAATAGTATCTGAACTGGTTAGAGTTTATTGAAAGTGACAAACAAAAAAAGGAAAGAAAGAGTAACATCTGTTTACATTTACTGGAATCTGACTACCTTCCAAGTTGTCTTTTTTTATGAATGAGTATGTCTACAGTATGTATATATAGTATGTATACGATGTATATAATCTGTATAATATTATGTAAGATATATTCTTGTGTTTTAAAACTAATTGAAACAGAGAAGAGGATTTTATCTTAAAGTGAATATTGAGACATGGGGAGAAAATGGTCAAAATGAAAAAGGAAAAACAGTACATAGGATCACAGAGAAGTGGACCAAGTTCTTTTCTGGTGCATCTCTTTTCAAAGAGAGTTACAGCATTTCATTTTGGGCAAGAACCTTTAAGACCATCCATCATTGGCAACAATAATGTAAGATTTGCTGTGAAAGAATTCTTGTCCTAATTTACTGCTTTTCATTATTGGCACCTTATGTCTTAATGTAACTCAGAAGAACAAATTCTCTTTACCTAGGGGTGTTTTTGTTCAGTGGAAAGGAAAAAAATGGTCAGTCTTAAAAGCTTTTAGCTATGCTAGTTTTACCTCTTCTGTAGTCAAGTTCTGTTGGCATAGAAAGTTGCCACTATATTTTACAGAAGCAACTCACACATTGAGAGAAATATATCTCGTGGTTAGATGAATTACAGTAAAGTTATTCATTTCAATAAAGGCATCAGTCCAAATACAAAATTTTCCATGGAGAAGTAAATGCTTCCTGCAAGTCACTAATTGCTGCTATTACAGGCATTTTTTTTCTGGATTGTTTCCATCTGTGCATAGAACTGACCTTCAGCCTGGGAAGTATCTGAAAATACTTGGTTATCTTGTTCACCTTTTTCTTTCACGTGTTCTCATGTTCTCAGTGTCTGTTGGCAGAACAGATTTATGGGGATAAAGCCTTCTTACTTCTTTTTCTGGTTCTTGACAACAGTGCACAATTGCTGCTTCTAAGGCAGTTCAGTGTTGTCTCAAAACTGGTTTATTTCTTATGACCTTCTCTACTTACATGGTGTTTTGTGAACCATTTGGCTAAAAGTTATATATTCTGAGATTCACAATTTGTTATCTTAATTTCATCTCAATTCCTGGTTGTTATGGCAACAACTGGGAGTAACAGGCACAGTTCCTCAGAAATCACACTGTTCAGAAAACCATGGAATGGCTGAGGTTAAAGGGGACCTCTGAGATGATCTGATCCATCCACCTTGCTCAGAGCACCTTACTCAAGACTTCTACATAGAATGCCTTTGATTCAAAAGAATTTCTGTGACACTAGAGATTTTATTTTCTCTAAAATGAGCAGGACTACTTCCATTTGAAATTGTAAATCTTATTTCAAAGGAGTAAGTTGTGGGAAAGGATAGCAAATGAGAATAAACTGGCAATGGGACTGTCAAAGCCACCCTCAGGCCACTTTTTTTTCTACTTGAAAAAAGGCTACTTCATGTTTCTTTTTGTAAAATTATAAATTATAGATATGTACTTTTAACCTACACGTCTTCATGGGAATTATTAAAACCTTCAGGAGAAGCAAATTATGTTACTAATAGAAAGAGTTCTTCCTCTGGAGTCAGAGAATTTTTGTTTATTACAATGAATACCCGAATATCAGGTAGGAGTATACTTAGTACTGTTGTGTAGTGTAAAATGCTTATTCCAGCATTATGGTAATTGCTTTCTTTTCCTTTGGTTTCTGGATAGTCTGACTAAATCAGAAAAAAGATTAAGCCATTTCTGAGTCCTCCTTTCACTTATTATTCCCTCTGTGGTTTATTGCCTTTCAGTACTATCTTTACTATGCTCGTCCTTTACCTCTTCTCCTGGGAATTTAGCTATACATGGACAGCTAATATAATAATGTACTTTCTGGGGGTACTTCAGAAACACCTTGTCTGTCACAAAGTTTTATATGATAGTGAAATGCAATTTTCCCTGCAGAAATGCCACTTTCCTGAAGTTACTTTCTGGTATTGAACTTTTTAGACCTGATAGAGTAGTTAACAAACCTTTTTTATGGATTTTTCAATAGAAGGACAAGTTGAAATGTGGGTCCCTTTTTTTACCTTCTCTCTCTGTGTCACGTTATTCTCTCTCATCATTTAGTGTTGATCAACTCAAACATGAGGTCTGACTCCATTTACTCCATTTTTGCATAGATTCTACTATCAAGTGCTTACTGATGTTTGATCCTACTCTTTTTACTGCCTCTGGAGTTTTTAACATCTTCTGAGATTTAATTTATTTATTTGTTTTAAAGGCAAAGGTGTTTATAGCATAATGAAATAATGAGGAAAATAGTGACATTCAGTTTTCCAAAGATTATATATTTGGTCCTACAGGAAATGTAGAAGACTACTCAGCACTTCTCTCTTTACTACTTCCTTTCAAACAATCTAAATATTTTGGGTTTTTTCTCTTTCAGTTCTATCATTTTTTTTTATTAAAACATTCCTGTCCTTTAGGAACTTTGAAAATTAAAGAACTTGGAAATTAAGATTTAGGCCTCACACTTCAAAAATTCAGGCTGAGGATACATTACAGAAGGAAGACATGGTTGCATAATTTTAATCTTGTGTATCAGGGTATTAATGAATTGTGACTTCATTTGATCTCATAGATTCACTTAACAATCCATACTGTCTGAATTGATGTGGTAAGAAAAACATTTTCTTTCAGACACTTCTAAGATTTCATATTTGGACAAAAAAAAAAAAAAGCCCCTCACTGGAACAAAACCTCAGAAATCAATAAATATTTATCTTTGGGAAGTTGGAAACATAACTTTATTTTTTATTATTTTCATAGCATAAATGTTTTTAGTTACTGGACATGAGAAGTAAATAAAGCAGGGTTTGGAAATAAATTAGATTTGTATTGATATTTCAATATTAGAAGGAAGCTAGAGAAATATAAATAGGAGGAAAAAATTATCACATAACTCCCAACAGGAAGTAAATAATTTGCATTATTTGTCTCTTCGGGCCATTTTTGGCTTATTTTTAAGGAATGTAAGGAATACAAAGTTTGGAAACAACATAAACAGCTTAAAAATATACCATATGGTTTAATATTGTTATGATCTATAACTGTGGCAAAAATAAACAGAATCATCTTTGGCTGTGCATTGAAAAGTCTTGAAATCACTATCTTTTCATTTTCATATGGAAGTGTGATAATCTGCATATGATAATCTGCATGGTCTGTTTGGATCTCCCAAATTTACGGCACAGTGTACTTTGTGAATTAAAATTTATTTTATGAGCTTAAGACCTCATTAGAAAAAAAAACATAAAAAAAGTGAAACACTCTGCCTCAGAAAACCCCACCAAAACATGCAAAGACATAAAACAGTGGTGGAATCATCTTTGTACAGACTGGTCCAACACATGAACTCACTAATTTATTATTTCACTAATTCACAAACTCTCTAACTTACGAGTTCTCTAAATCATATTTTCTCAAATTAGTTACCAAACCATTGGTGAGAGCGCTCATTTTGTCTTCTCTATCATGGTGTGAGTGCCCCTCATATCACACTGACAAGCACAAAAGCCTCAAAAGTCTGCCTGCTGTTGGATCTGCTTCAAAAACTTTAGGAATAAGCTTAAGCATTTACACTTTCCAGGTCAGAAGTTTAGTCTATAGCGTTTCCATGAGTTAGCAGATTCTAAAGAAACTGTCAAGTGGTTACTTTTTGAATATGCAAGAGATGATGGCTGCAGGTGATAGCCCTTATCTCTCCCTATCCATTGGGTTCTATGTACATGCTGCTCTCACATTGACCTAGTGACACTGCTCTCAGCATATGTCAGACATTAGCATGAGCTGTGTGATCATTATTACCATATTTTTACTTTTCTTTCCTTTAAGCATTTTCCAAGTCATTCTGGTTATCCTAACTTCAGTTTCTCTTGATACTGACAATTTATTTGCTAGGGTTTCAGTAACAAATTAATTCAATTCATATACCAATTACAACCAACAGAGTTTGAATAATATCTCTTTTACTTCTATGCCCTATTGGTCAATGACTTTGTAGCCACCACCACAGAGGTGATCACTGTAGTCACTACTAGTTTTCTGCCATGCAGGAGTCTATACACTGGTAATATTCAATGTGCGATCATTGTCATTAATTTTGGAACCATAGTCATAGGCTCTTGTCCATCATGCAATTGCATTAAGTGAAAGGAACTTTTATTAATAAATTGTCTGGATTGGTTTTTAAGATTGCGTAATCAGGAACAGATGGTAGCTTAATTTTGTCCATTTACATTGACTTGCACAGTGATTTTTCGGAGTGTTTATGAAAAAATTGACATGTATTGTTTTCTCATTGTGAACAGTTGCCATAATTTTTGTGGTCCGCTAGTGCATGATTACTTGCCTTACATGCCAGTAGTGCCCATTTCACTCTCTTGTTGTCACAGCCACATACAGCTTCACGTCCAGTGTTACTACATATAGTTAAATTCAGGTTAACTTTAGAATTTAGGATTGATGTAATATTATCACCTACTGTCAGTACTCACCCTTGTGGTGTTGCAGATGGTATTCCTTCTGTAACTGGTTTCGAAGTTGAGTTATGACTGATCTGCAATACCTGAGTTGTGCCATGGGCAATGTTAAAAGGCAGGATCTCTTAGAGACAATTTTTGGGTATATGTTCCAATTAACAGTGTTGTCATGGTGATGTGGTAAGGACAGTGAGGTCTTGGACATAATCCAAACCTCAGTTGTAGTTAACTTGTTCCCTTTTTCATTGTAAAAGGAGAGGCACACAGATAACCCTTGAGGTGGATTTTTAACTGCAATATCATTTTACAGATTTCAAGAGAGTTTTACTTCTGTTTGAACAAGAATTTGAGCAGCTACTGGTATGAATCCCTTATCTATGGTTCTTCTTGTGGGGGTTTGTCACTTGTGTAGCCATCTTAGACGTTCTCACAGATAGGATCTCCACATACAGTATTAATAGATTAATTCTTGTGTAGCTGCTGGTTTAGTAGTTCATTCCATCTGTCTACTGTCATGTTATTTTGAGGTTGATACAGTAGGCAGCAAATCCATTGTACAACATTTGAAACACACCAAGCTTGTCCTACTTTATTCTTAAAATGTTATTCATTATAAGATTGTATTTCTCTGGATAAGGGAAAAGTAGCAAACCACTGGCTTAAAGTAGCAACAGTTGTGAGACCAGTGGTAGCTTAGGCAGGGAACACAAACCCTACACCACTATTTCTGCTCCTTTAAGGATGTGTTTCCACCATCCAGGTGTTTGTTCTAAAGGATCAATATAATACACGAGAAGTTTCCCAGATTAACTTACCCTTCACTGAAGTTGGTAGAATGCTTGTAATGTACCATTGTTTGACAAAAAATGGCACGAATATACAATTTGTTTTGCCAGAACTTTTGCTACTGGGCATCCTTTCCTATTGAAATGACCTTGACAGCCTGTTGAAATAAATCCTAAATCCCAGTATGTCTAAGCCATTCCTGTAAACAGGTAGTCATTCTGCCTCAAAGTTTTGTGTAAAATTTTTCTATACAAATGATCAGCCACTTGATTCTGTGTTGCCAGGATTTTTAGCGATTTGGTAACTAGATACATTTTTATGGATATGTTCTTAGATTGAACTATATCATAAATCACTTTCCAGTGTGATGGGTTTTTTCTACCATAAATTTCAGTCATTTACTTAGCAATATTTTTTCATCCCATTCTCTAGCCACTGGTTGGAACCCTTAAGGGTTACTAATTAAAACCAGCTTTACAACAGGAACAGCCATGCATAATTTGATCTCTTCTTGAATTGATAGCTTGGTAGTTAGCAGCCCTTAGTAAAGAGCCAAGTTTTTTGACTGAGTCTCACTCCTTCTGTTTTTCCATAATGACCCTGTCATCCCTGGCCATTTTCTCTAAGCCTTTGGGCTTTTTGATTAAATGGTGAACTGCAGCAATACTATGGAAAGTTCTGACTTTCTAGTAGCACTTACAAAAGAACACATACAGTGTCTATGTTTCATTTTGTCCTATGAAATTTATAGATTAGACAAAAGAAAACTAACTGGCTCACTCTGAAGCAGACATTTTCTTAAAAGACAGAATGCCTTTAAAAAAAGTTTGGCTGAGGTCTTAATAATTAAGAGACATGTAACTAAGAGTTAGGTCATGCAATTAGTAAAAGGGTGTTGAAAAATTATCCTCAAGCTGCTGTTCTAGCTACCGAACTAACTGAAAAGTTGAGTTCAGTGAGCAGGTATTAAAATGGGGAAAGTGCACTAATACTTTTCTCTCATGGTGATTTTGTTAACTGTGCTACAAAGGGTTAATATGCTTCTGTTTGCCTATAACAATAGCTGGCAATAATAAATCAAGAGCTCTTATTTTTCTTACTGGTGTTCAGAATCATTAAATAAATAAGGAGAGGTTTCAATACAATGAAATGTGGTTTAGAATTATGTTCCTTATCTTGTTCACCAAATGTTTGTCTTTTCTTTTTCTTTGAGAACTATCAACACTCTCACATACTGTCCCCACCCTGCTCACATGATACAAGGAATGTTGCTTCACATGTTTTGTTCATACTTATTTTAAATTATTCAGTTAAGAAAAACTACTCTAAAAGGGCATTTGTGTTCCTTCTTATCCTTCAATTATTAAAAATGGAACTAACAGAAAGTTTCACTGAAGAGAAAACCCCCGCTTTCATCCAATTCTTTGACTTTATCTTGTCTTTCCATCCAGTTATCTTTTATTAAGTAATTAATCTCACTGAGCTCCATATGCTGTGCTAGCTAGTCTGGTGCTGCAAACTCAAGCTAACAACTTTAAAACTAGCTGCACACAAGTTTGTTTTTGTCAGTTTTCAGACTTACGGAATTTCTGATGTTTAGACATCTTTATCTAATAACATTAACATATAACTTTCGTCTTTTAATTATCTTTAGCATACAAGTTAGAAATTATTCTTGTTCTCCCCTGGAACATATACGGATATTTTATAGATGAGACCTTTCTGAGTTCAATGTAGATATATGAAGTTTTACAATGAAATACTTTTCTATGAGCTGATCATATATCAGAGAAGAGAGGGAGTTTTTTTAAAATATCGTGATACATGGATGATTAAAGATTCGGTATCAACTGCTTCAGTATTACAACAGTCTTCAGTTAGCTGGACTAGTTTTTCATATTATTGCATTAGTACAATGTTTTTTAAGAACATGAAAGAGCAAATCAATATGAAGTTCAAATAAAATAAAATAAAAAATATATCCTAGTCATCTCATTCGAACAGTGAGATTTTTGACCATTTCAGAACTTTTGCAAAGATTAACACATTTTTCTAATTTCTAAATCTTTTCTTCCTTTCAAGAAATATGTTTTAGACTACTTCTTCAAAAATAGATATGATCACAAATCTTAATAATTCATAGTTGTAAGAAAATTCCTGTTACTAACAATATTTCTATTATTTTATGCTTTAATCTTGAGTCAGCCAGCCACTTAAATGGGTTATGTTGAGATCTGTGTCGTGTAATGAAAAAATTATATCATTCTACCTCTTGTAATCTTAAAGAGGATTGCTACAAAACAGTTTGGATTAGATTTTCTGAAAAGCACATAGGGAAGTTAAGACTCATAGAAACATCTCATTTTCCTTATCACCTCGGACTGAGCCAGCACTTCTCTTTTCTGGAGGAGGAGCAACTTATTTTAATTCTTCATTTATTTTTTAATTTTAGGTATGGAGTTGGAATCATCTATCCATGATGAAAAGTGCAGTCAAAGTTCAAACTATTAGAAGGCTAAGAGACTACTAGCTTGTACAAGCCTACTTCAAATATTACACCTGTAAGTTTGATCTGACTGGCGGTGTCCCAGTCTCGATAACACTTGAGCCATCACAGTGGAGATGAGCAAGAATTCATGACCAGTGACTCTTTTTTTCAGTAGGTTACAGTTAAGTTTCTTCACACCCATAACAAAACCACAGCAAGAAGATATTCTGATTCATGAAGATTTCTCAGGTCTTTCAGAGTTTCAGCCACAGAAAAATATTTCCATTCTTATCTCTCCAAATATTTGTAAACTGGGCATTCCCCAAGGTCTCCCTTCTTTTAGTGAATAAGCAAAGCTGCTAACAAGATCCATTAAAAAATCTACTGATTATGAAGAGTATAATAAACATTTCTGTAGATATAGATAGTATGGTACATAAAAAAAAAAAGACAAAATTTAAACCTCAAAAGTTTCAACTATTTCATTATATATTTATTATATTATGTAGTATATTTATATATATTATTATATATCTAAAATTTACTGTAATTTTGTTTGGGTTTTTTTTCATTAAAGCTTTAGGAAACAAAGGCTTTATCACAACCCAAAAGTTAAATTATTTTAGCTCTACTGAGCCTCATATGAAACTGTGGGTGGCAATTTCTTTGTATTTTGGGTAAGGTATATTCAAATTAAGTTGCTGGAAGTAGGTCAAGAAACATAAAAAAGACTTAACCTTGATGAAGCTTTGGCAGCAACTGTGTTACATTTGTGTGGAGTTGCTCTGGGGGTTGGTGCTGAAGGGAGTTTGGAGTGTTTTATTGTCCTTTTCCTTTTCTCATATCCCTACTTCACTACAACAGCTCTCCATAAGCTTCTAACTAACGGTAAATAAATGTCCTGGAAATCATGGAAAAGTTGAAAACAGCTGGAAAACTGGAATACAACCTGCAAAAACATCTATTTAGCTGAAGTGAAACGTGACTGAATCTTAATGCCAAAACTACTCTTCAGAATTTTTTTTGCAGTATTGACCTTCTACATTTCAAATTGCAGTAACAGATAAACATGATTTTTTTTACAAATGAATATTGGAATATAAGAGCAATTTCTTTTCTACTTTAAACAACTTGGTCTTCTATTGAAATAGTAAGATTTTTAAGTTTATTTATTTGTTTGTATTTTGTTTGCTTTGTTGGTTTGTTTTGTTTTTTAAGATAAACAAGAGGAAAAAACCCGAGGAGGTGTAAGTGATTAGTCTCTACAGACTGTCCACATCAGCATTTTCTCAGCACGGGAGTAGGAAAGCAATTTCTGAGATACTTTTTTTCCTCTGGCCAAATGAGTAATAAATAATGAAAAGATAAATAATGAATAGGAGAGCAACAAGATTTACTAGCAGAGTCATATCATCAAGAGGAAGGCCGTACAGTACAGTAGGATAGCGCTACACTTTCAAGAATATTGTAAGAATGTGCTGCCTGTACATCTTCTGTAATGTAGACAACAAAATAAAGCCCCCTGTAAAAAAGCTTGATTTTTCTCATGAAACAAAGAAAATGCAAAGGTTGGGAGGTTTGATCACATTTTTTCCTTAGGTATGCAAATCACAGGGTAAGTTTTCATGGTATGAAATTCCACAGTTTGGGGAAGAAAGGAAATGAATTGTGATTGTAGTTCTAGGCAAATAATCTCCTCTTACTATATATGTAAAATAGATATTGATTCAATTTAGTCTTGTCTTGAAGAACGAAAGCTTTTGTCTGGTTTCTTTAGACTCAAAAAATTTTTGACAGAACTATGATTGTTTAATGACACTTCCTTTGCTAGCAGTTCCTAGCCAAGCAACAGGTATGTCTGTTTACGCTGTACTAGAAAAGTATTACATAAAAGATATTTTAATAGCTGTTTCTTGTTGATTAAGCACATTTCTAAAACATGAACAGCATTATTAAAATTAACTCATTATTATAGCAGTAAAAAACCTGTACTGTTGGAGGTTATTCTTACACTCTAATTGAGTAAAGCTAAATTATTCTCTGTCTTTGTCTTTTTTAGGAGTGAAATTAGATGATGAATCAAAACCTGAACTTGGGCTCCATTCAGAAACAAATGGAAGAGACACACATTTTTGGAACCCAACCAAGACAACCTTATAAATTAGATGGAGGTTGCCAACCAGGTGACCATCTATGTAATTCAAATCTGCCATCTCAAAATTTTTACCCATATTCATCTCATTATACATATATGCATATGAATTACAGCAGTGATTGGGAAATTTTTGAAGCAGTAAAAATTCAGGAATTGGAAGAAGTCAAAGCCAGAGCTGCCCAAATGGAGAAGACCATGCGCTGGTGGTCAGATTGTACTGCTAACTGGAGGGAGAAATGGAGCAAAGTTAGAGGAGAAAGAAATAAAGCCCGAGAGGAAGCAAGACAACTGAGAATCAAATTAGACAGTGCCATAAAAGAAATAAGTATGCTTAAAAAAATAAATCAAAATTTAATAAGTGAGAAGGAAAACTTAGAAAATGGAACTGCTTGGAAAACAGAATGCAGTTGCTCAGAAATATATTATGGTAGAAAAGACCGAAATCTGTTAACATTTCTGGAACCAGAACCTGTGAAAGAACTGAGCAAAATCATCAAAATTCCTGGGGTAGAAGACACAAAGAAGGTAAAGAATGGGGAATCTTTTTTTAATTCATGAAGAAGCAGCAGAATATGGGATTTTTTCAAGCATTTTGACCAAAATGCTGCCTCATCCATTCACTAGCAAAACCATTTTTCTTCACCCATCTAAACATTCCTAATATAGAGAAATACAGAAAATAATTCATACCCATGCACTATGACTAAACATTTAAGTAACAGAGGCAGACTATTCTATCCAATAACTTACAGTATTGCTCTGACTCTCATGTTTTATGGTGACAGATTACCTCTGTTATCTAAATTCATCATATTCTGTGTACTCACTTTTTCTTTTCCCCTCCAAAAGAAAGCAAACTAGATTCTTAGCTTTTAAAATAAAGCCATTTAATTGTCTCTGAACTTCAGAAATATGGGAATAGATGAGGCAAAGTCTTCCGCAAATTTGCAAGAATTTTTTGTTTGATAAGGAGGGCAAGTAAATTATGACATAGAATTAAACAATCAGGCATCATTTAATCAGCTCCCAGTTCTATACAAAAGACCCACTTATATTCATCAAAAATGGAACCACTTATGCATGTTTTGCCACCTTTAATTCTGTGCCTTGGCATGCATTGTATAATCTTCATAGACAGAATCATGTCAAAACTATATTTGTTGTCTGACAGATAGTAGTCATTGTAGATATAGGTAATTTTTTTCATACCTTGCAGAAAAATGGTTTTCCCTACATTGTAGTACATAGAAAATTCTTTACTTCAATGGAAATTGTTGGGATTTTAGATCTGAATATGTTCTGTTCAGAATTTTCATTCACTCTCTAATGTATATAAATGAAATTAAATTCCTGTGAAATCTGAAAAAAATATAGTGTTACTATGGAGAATATATTTTGCCAAAAAATGCTTGCCTTTCATATTTTTGGGCATACAAATGTGCTGCATGAAGGAAATAACACTAAACATATTTTAACTATTTCTCTTTAATATAAAGTAATTTCTACTTAAAAACTGAAACTTTATATGTGAGGGGGAAACAATGGTTTCTAGTATTTTCTGATGTAAATTTTGGGCATTATTCTAAAAACTCAAAAGAACAGAGTGGTATGAAATAGAACGGTCGGTAATCTGCTAAAATGACATTAGCTTTTAAACACCGTTCATCAAAAGTGGTAAAACAATTACATTTATAAAGGAAACTTGTTCATGAGAGACATTCAGTCTTCCTACTGATTATGTATTCTATTTTTTAGTTATTTTTCCTGTTGTTAGGTTTGCTCATTTTTCATGCAAAACATTTGTCTTCAAAACAGATATTTATATATTTTGCTTCTTATGAAAAACTTGTATGATCCTATCACCTGCTTCAACACAATTTGCATTAAAAGTTTAAGAGTTCATAAAGTAGAATTTCTTAATATATTGTTTATATGCATAACTTGCCTTCTGGGTTTTATTAGTTCCAGGATTCTGTCTTCACCATAGTTATAACAAACAAATGATAAATGGAATCTATTTCTTTAGTAAAGACACATTAGAAACATTTTGGATATGAAGTCATAACAGAAGATGTGAGACATGTCACAAAATTAGAGTGATTCAACTTTTTCTTCCTATGTGATTTCACTGTCTAGAAGAGCCTTGGTAGGCCCTGCAGGAATTATCTCAGACTTTCCCTTTCATTTGTGTTTTTCTCAGATGTCATATTTTTGTTTTCTCAGGATGTAGAGGTAAATAAAGTCCAGAGCAATCACAATAAAAAATTCACTCCAAAGTCCCCTGATTTCTTCCCTGATGCACATCCCAGTATCTATTTGGAGGAACCTAAAAAAAGTTTGGACACTACAGCTAAGACAACTGAGAATGACTTAATACATGTTTCAGTCCTACATTTGCATTTGGCTGAGATTAAGAAAATCTTACAGAAGGAAAGAGAGTAAGTATGAAATATATCCTACTTGGGGAAGTCTCTATTAAAAATAAAGGGATTTAAGACACTTTCTAATATAGATATGGTGATTTTTGCATTTGTATCTCATATGTTCTCATTTCTAAGCTTTAATCATTGCTATTTACAAAGCTCTGATAAAAATTTAGAGAAAGAATTCAGGATAGTGACTATGTGACTAATTTCAAAGTCAGTTAAGTTAATCAGAAAATCAAAATGAAGAAAACTCCATGTCTATTGCAAATATATTCAACCATCTCCATTCAGAGACTGTAATGGTAAACTGTTTTGAAGAATTTCTTTACTGTCAGTTTGTTTCACAATTGTCCTGTAGATAGCACAAACCTGATTAAAAAAAAAAAAAAAGCTTTAAATTCCCAACTAGTTTTTAATGTGTTTTGTTATATGAAATAGATAGCTGTAGAAAGTATACAATAATTCTTTACTTGAATCATATCGCAGAAGATGTCCAGAAGTGTTAAAGGTGTTTAGGTTTTTTGTGGAAGCAATATATATATGTGTGTGAGTTAGGAGACTGATTCAAATTTAATTTTACTCTGGTTGAAGTATTTAGGGTCCTTGGTGCTTCATCTTTCAATGGCAATCAAGGATACATACATGAATATGTATGTATAATAATTTTCTTTTAGAAGCATGATAATTTTTCAACTCTTGTTTTTAGTCTCTTTTTAGGCAAAACTTTTATAAACCGTGGTTCTGCCTACTGGTTTCGGTTTTGGTTTGTTTGTTTGTTCACATGCTTCTCTAAACGATTTGTAACTGTATTTCAGAGAGACAGATTATGCCATTTATGCCTAGATGTATACTGACTGGTACAAAGTAATAAATTTACTGGCACAGGGTAAGAATTGAGGCATATCTAGAATATGCAATATGTGGCTGTGCCAACTTCAGGCAGCAAATGCTCACAGAGCAGTGATTTCCACATAACAGCAGGCACTGATATAACAACTCCCTCTCTAGGTCAGTTTGGGCAGCGTTTCCTCTGTGTAAAGATGTTATATTAGCAGAATATATGCAACTTCACAGTTTGAAGCAATTTTTTTTGACAAAGCACACAACGAAAAGCTAGGAATAACGTTACTAGGAAAAGTGATATCATAGCCACTGGTCTCTTGAGATAGCTGGTGAATCTTCATTGGGCAGGCTGTCATCTGCTGGCTCAGAAAGGGTTGGTCTCTGCTGCTTAGTGGAATTGACTGATTTTGCTGAGTTTCCATCTTCAGATTACCAGTTTTCCCTCTTAGGTTTTATTCTTGTTCATAACAG